ACATATAACCAAGCTGTTTAGTTTTCTGAGTGGAAGCAAGCTATGCAAGTTGAACTTGATGCACTTGAAAACACCCACACATGGTCTCTTGTTCCTCTACCTGTTCATAAAATGCCCATTAGATGCAAATGGGTTTACAAAATCAAAGGAAATTCTAATGGAAGCATTGAAAGATATAAAGCTTGACTTGTTGTCAAGGGATTTACATAGATTGAGGGTGTTTATTACCATGATACTTTTTTCACCCATAGCCAAACTTGTGACTGTACGAGTTCTTTTGGCAATTGCAACAATACACTAGTGGCCTTTACATCAACTAGATGTTCAAAATGCTTTCTTACATGGAGATTTACATGAGGAAGTCTATATGTCTCTACCACTTGGACATCCTCAAAAGGGGGAGCATGGACTTGTATGTAGATTGCATAAATCTCTTTATAGCTTAAAGCAGGCATCTCGCAATTGGTTTGCAAAATTCTCACATGCTCTACTTGACATGGTTTTCACTCAATCCTATGAAGATTATTCTCTATTTGCACTTACTTGTGGGTCGGCCTCAGTTTACATACTAGTCTATGTGGATGACATGGTAATCATAGGAAATAGTCATCATCTCATTGCTTGTGTGAAGGAATTTCTATTGAGCCATTTTTGAATTAAAGATTTGGGACCACTTAAATATTTTCTTGGCATTGAGGTGGCTCGTTCTTTACAAGGCATTTACCTTTGTCAACAAAAGTACATACTTGATCTACTTAATGATGTTGGATTACTGGGTAGCAGAATTGCAGAAACACCAGTGGAACAAAACCTTAAGCTCACAAATTGTGATGGACCCTTGTTAAATTATCCTTCCATATATTGGCGTCTTGTCAACAGACTTATATATCTCACTATCACCAGACTTGATATTTCCTTTGCTGTGAATATTTTAAGCCAGTTCATGCAATCTACATGGCAACCACACCTAGATGTTGCATTCCGACTACTTTGGTACGTGAAGAAGACTCTGGGGCAAGGTATACTATTCTCTTCCACTAGTTCTCTTACACTAACAACATTTTGTGATTTTGATTGGGTTAGCTGTATCATTACCCATTGTTCTACCACTGGCTATTGTTATTTTCTTAGTAATAGCCCCATTTCATGGAAGAGCAAGAAACAAAACATTGTCTCACTCTCTTCTATTGAGGTTGAGTATCATGCCATGGCCACCACTACCAAAGAAGTAATATGGCTAAAAAGGCTCCTGCATAATTTTGGTATTCCTTTGCCTCATTCTACACCACTATATTGTGACAATCAAGCTGCAAGACATGTAGTTGCAAACCCAATGTTCTATGAACGAACCAAGCATATTGAAATTGATTGCCACTTTGTTTGGGAAAAATTCCAGTTGGGAGTCATTCGTCTGTTGCTCATTTCTTCCTCACAACAACCTGCTGACATTTTCACCAAACCGCTTAGCAAGGACATGGTTCCCTTCCTCTATAGCAAGCTGGGCATTCGAAACCTTCATGCTTCAGCTTGAGGGGGAGTATCAGTGAGATATGTTCCTACAATTATGGAGAAATATCAGCATAGAGCAATCTCAGCATATTAGCTTCATCTTTGCATATCTGTATTTTAGCAGTAAATTTGTACTTTCCACTATTATTGCACTTTTACTGCTTCCTTTTCTTTAGGCTTAACTTTAGCTAGAATTAATTTTTCTTTGCCGTATGTATGTATGTAATTATGCACGAGATCAATACATGAGAAAACATTCCATTACTTTTGACAACAATATCGTGATCTATGGTCAGTGGCTTAAACACAACTTATTAAATGAATTCCACATGTGGTCAGTGGTTAAGCCACTGCGCCTATATCGTGGATTTCAAGTGATTAACTTTCCTTGAAGTGGCATCCACCATATGACACTATAATTACTGATTTAGTTTAAAAAAATATAGCACTATAATTATTAAAGTTTTTTTTTGAAGAAGTAGGTAATTGAGTAGGAAAACGTTTCCACCTTTCTGTTTTACGACTGGTGAAAAACATGGTGGAAATCTTCCTGTTTTACTACTGGTTTCTTTTTACTTTTATAAAGAACGAATCTACTAGAAGGATGGACTTGTATTTAGTTTAATGCGCACAAGATTACAGTACAAATGGCTGCTAAAAAAGCTTTAACTTTTAGTACCTCTTGTTTTAGTATCAGTTGTGTTATGTGTGGAAATCACACATCTAAAATAGAAAAATATGTATGGCTTAAATGTTAGATGTGTTTCTTCACTTAATAGTAATGAGTCTTAAGTTGGATACTCGTATCTCTTATTTAATTTTTATATGGTATTTGAGAATATTCTACACTTAAAAATACATTATTTTTCAGCTTGCGTGATAGGTCTTGAAAGTCATATGGAGTTTGAAATGAAGGAGGGTGTATTAACAGGCAAAAAAAAAAATTCTATATCAAAATATTAGAAGCTACATGTCTAGCTTAAATAGTAGGTTACTATATTTATTATTAATTGATTTTAAGTTAAATGTTTGTGTTGTAATTTTGACCCAACGTATAGGTCTAACTTTAACACTTTGATAATTTGGTTGTGATATAGGAAATGAAAATAATATAGTTATTTACAATCATATATGGTATTATAAGCTCACAATCATGATTATAAGGGTCAGGCTTAGTGTACGACAAAGGGGTCAGCCATCCCCAAGTTTTTGAAAAATGTCAAATATAGTATATTAACTTTTGTTTACTATAAAATTTGTTTTTAAAGTTTGAATGACAAGGATCATTTCAAATCTAAAGAAAATATTTTGTATGCCTACAACTTAAACTTAAAATCTCTTAGTTCTAAGAGAAAAAAATTACCATTGAACCGCTAAAGTTTTTACATTAGTTGTATATATTTTTTTGGGACACTAACACTTATACTAATTTAATACACTTCACAATATACTTATTAAAAAATTATTATTTTTTAGTTTAAAATTTAAAGAAGAAAAAATTAAAACTACAATATTTTAATAATTGAATTAATGAGTGTTAGCATGTGTGTTGAATTGGATAATGTATCAATCATGTCCTTTTTAATACATTTATATTCTTTTATGCCAACAATTGGATTTAATATTCTATTTATATAGATCATTTATTCAAATTTTAAAATTGATTTAATATATATAACCATGCAATAAAATAAACAATACTTTCATATTTTGTATTCAAGGGTCTTAAATTGTAGGTTGTTTAAAAATAATTAAATATATCAAATTAATTTAAAATTTGACTTACATGATATATGTCATATATGAGACAAAAATTAGTTATTGATATAGAAACTGGTATAAGTTAGACTAGTATAAACTAACCATGACTCATGAAAAATTTTAAAATTTTGCCTCCTCTAACTTTAATGTTTGGCTTTGTGCTTGATGATTATATAGTTAACTTCTTTTATTTAGGGTTTATTCATGATATTGCATATATTTACTAACTTAATAGCATGTTATAATTATAAATTTATAATCTTATGTCACGTTCAACTTATATCATTGTTGTTTGGGAAACTATGGATATATATAGCCATAATTGTATAGAAATAAAAGGGAAAATGATTGGAACACCCTCTGATTTAATGCACCAACCAACACCCATCGGTTTAGTCATTAAAATTTGTAGTTGAATTTTTTCTTACCTTGAATTTAAATTTAAAAATAATAATTTTTTAATGAGCATATTGTGAAGTATATTGAATTAAATGGTGTACCAATTATTGTCTAAATAAAAATGCAGTTATCTATGAGAAAGGCTATATTTGAAAGTTGAAGGGATATATACTAACATTGATTGGTAGACACTTTGATTTAATATATTGCACAATACAATTATTAAAAAAATTACTATGTTATGGTATGTTGATAAAAAAAACTATATTTAAGTGTGAAATTAAAGGCCTAAAAACTTATAAATGTAGCTACGCATACAAAATACAGAAAATGATTGAATAAATTATATTTATATTATATTTTAATAATTAAATTGAAACAAGTGTAAAAAATGTGGTGAATTGGTATGTATCAATCATTTTCCCATATGTATACATTCTTCCACAATGAAACGAATGGCTTGTGGTTGTCAGGTAAATAATTTAGAAAGGGATCAACATTTCAATTTTTATCAGCCACGAAAAGTTTTATCAAGTGACTTCAAGGGTACTCGAGACCCATTTGCAAGTACAGGAAATCAAAATTTAATCTCACCACAGCCTAAAACCTCAACTGATCACAAACGGAAAAATATAGAAAAGCTAGCGTCCAATCCTAATGAGCCTAGATTAGAGAAGTCCTTCAAAAGTTTACATTGACATCAGAGCAGATTATTCATAACTTATCAAGAAATTAAAACCAAAGCATGAAAGATACACTCTGAATCATACAAATACAGTAGATCATCAGAGCTCCAAATCCATGAGTTGAGAATTATTAGTTGTGTCCGTTTCTACTATGTTTTAGTAAAGCCTTCAATGCCACTTTGGGGGATAGAGATCAATATTTGATCGGAAAATCTTTGATCTTTTAGAAAGTAGCATTGATTAATTGGTCGGAGCATTTTTCCTTCCCTTTTTTTTTTTTTTTTTCAAAGAGACCACCAAGAAGAATTGATTAATGCTTTCCACCTTTACTTTGGAAGAATGGCATATATGAACACTTACAAGCTGCCTGATTGGTAGCCATAATATTAATTTAATTTTAAGGCCTGAGTGGTTAAGTCTTCATAGTTAATTTTTTTTTTTTTCATTTTTTTGAAAGCCAATGAAAAATATTTCTATTAAAAGGAGTATTAAAGAGTACTCCAACCCTTATTCTGCTACAAAGTTAAAATTAAATTGAATTCCTTTATCACGACTGGAAGAATTCATATTGGTACGAGTTGGATATGTTCGGTTTTGCTTCTAGATTTACATGTTATCTATAAATAACCCTCAAGAACATGCCTTCTCCTCATACCTATCAACCACATTTTCTACGTACTTCTAAAGATGAGCTGTTTACCAACTCTTCAATTTGTTTGCCTCCTTTTATTCATTCTCAACTTTCCAACTACTCTTTCCTCCCCTATATCTGCTCTTCTCTCTAATAGAACGTGCTCAACTAGGGAGAGTGCAATTCTTCTTCAATTCAAGAATGCCATTTCCGTTAGTCATGATGAATTTGATCCTTGTAGGGATGGTGCATCTGGTGTTGCATCTTATCCTAAGACAAATTCATGGAAGGAGGGTACAGACTGTTGCTCTTGGGATGGGGTAACTTGTGACAAAGTTACTAGCCATGTAATTGGTCTTGATCTCAGTTGCAACTGGCTTTCTGGTATCTTCCCTTCCAATGACAGTTTCTTCACCCTTTCAAACTTGCAAAGCCTCAACCTTGCCTATAATAACTTTCAAAACTCTAAGCTTTCGTCAATGTTTGGCCAATTTGCAAGTTTAACGTATCTTAACCTCTCAAATTCTGGGTTCTCCGGGCAAGTCCCATATGAAATCTCCCAATTAAACAAACTACTTTCCCTTGATCTCTCCTCTTATATGTTCACACTGGCAACACATACATTGAGAGGACTTGTCAACAACCTAACAGAGGTAAGAAAACTTTTCCTTGATGGTATAAACATGTTCCATGTTGATCCCTCCTCCTTCGTGAATCTTTCTTCTTCATTAACCCATCTAAGTCTTGAAAACTGTAATATGAAAGGAACTTTTACAGAAAACATTTTCCACCTTCCAAACCTTGTTTTGCTCAATTTGGGAGGAAATTTCAACCTCACTACTGAACTTCCAAAATTGAACTGGAGTGGACCTCTTGAGTCTTTGGATCTTTCAGGGACGTTTTTTTCTAAGGAATTTCCTAATTCTATTGTAAATTTAGTATCCTTAAGGAATCTTAATATGAAATCATGTTTTTGTTCAGGATTACTTACTAAAGCACTAGGGAACTTGTCACAACTTATTTTTTTGGACATTTCACGTAACCAAATCATTGGTAAGATCCCATCCTCACTCACAAACTTAACACAACTTCAGTCTTTGGATCTTCATGATAATCACTTGGTTGGGGTCATTCCTGATCAAGCAAATTTTTTCCAGAATTTAAGAGAAATAGACTTGTCTGTTAACTTTCTTGGGGGATCCATACCTTCTTGGATGTTGAACATATCATCATTAGAGCATCTAGATCTTTCCGAAAACCAAATCACTGGTCAAATCCCATCCTCATTTACAAACCTAACTCATCTTCTGTCGTTAGATCTTCATAATAATCAGTTGGTTGGTCCCATTCCATATCAAGCAACCTTTCTTTCGGATCTAAGAGAAATAAACTTGTCCAATAACTCTCTCATGGGGTCCATACCCACTTGGGTGTTGAACATATCTGCATTACAGTCGCTAAGCCTTGAAAATAACCAATTCACTGGTCACCTGAATGAATTTCAACATAAATCATTGACACATATATGTTTGGCAAATAATAAGCTCCAGGGTCCAATTCCAAATTCAATTTCTCACCTCTTAAATCTCACTTCACTTGATTTGTCGGCAAATAATTTCAATGGAATTTTTGACTTAGACCTGTTTGCTAAGCTCAAAAATCTCCAATTTCTTGATCTTTCACAAAATATTGATTTGTCATTCATCTCCACCATCAATGTCACTTACTCCTTGCCTAATCTTACAAACTTGATTCTGTCTTCGTGCAACATCTCCCAAATTCCTAAGTTCCTAAGAGGCTTAGAAGGTTTGAAAGGATTAGACCTTTCTAGCAATAAGATTCAAGACATTCCTGAGTGGATGTGGGAAGTTGGAAAGGACACTTTGGATTACTTGAATCTCTCTCACAACTTCATAATGTGTATAGAGCAGCTTCCTTGGAAAAGCATTGAGATTCTTGATCTCAGCTTTAACTTGATTGAAGGGCCTCTTCCAGTTCCACCTCCTATTGTCCATTTCTATTCAATCTCAAATAATAGTTTGATAGGAAAGATTCCTTCTTTGATTTGTAGGACAAGTCAAGTTGTAGTTCTTGATTTGTCTTACAACAGCTTGAGTGGAACAATTCCATCATGCCTTGCAAAGATGAGCCATCTTGAAGTGTTGAATCTAAGGATGAACAAGTTAAGAGGAATGCTCCCTAAAACTTTTGCAAAAGGTTGTAATTTGAAGAATCTTAACTTGAATGCTAATCATCTCGGAGGTTTGATGCCACGAGCAATTGTCAATTGCAAAGATATGGAAGTGCTAGATCTTGGCAACAACAGCTTTTATGGTAGATTTCCTCACTGGTTGGGAACTCTTCCACTGCTGCAAGTTCTTGTTTTAAGGTCAAATAAGCTCTATGGGTTTGTAAGAGATTCAAAGACCAACAATTCTTTTCCCAAGCTGCGAATTTTTGATGTCTCCAACAATCATTTTTCGGGTCCAATTCCAACTAGGTGCTTCAAAAATTTAAAAGCCATGCTGACTTGCAAGAATGGTAGAAGTGATGTGCAGTACATGGGAGCATATTTACCATTTGGTACCTTCTATGAGTATTCTGTTAGTTTGGTCGAAAAAGGATTAAAGATGGAACTGCCTAAAATAATAACCATACTTGCGGTTATTGATCTGTCAAACAACAAGTTTGAAGGAGAGATTCCAAAAGTTATTGGAACACTTTGTTCTCTTCAAGGACTAAACCTTTCTCATAATAGGCTCAATGGTCATATTCCACAGGCAATTGGAAATTTGGCCAATCTTGAATGGTTAGACCTCTCTTCAAATTACTTGGTAGGGGAGATTCCAGGAGAATTGGTAAATCTAACATGGCTTTCTATCTTGAACCTTTCTAACAATCAGTTGGTTGGACCCATACCTCAAGGCAAACAATTCAACACATTTGAAAACAGTTCATACGAGGGAAACTTGGGGCTTTGTGGATTACCTTTGTCAAAAGCTTGCAGCAAAAGCAAGATTGAACAACCATCAAGCTCTTTCCAAGAAAAAGATGAGCTATATGGGTTTGGTTGGAAAGTAGTATTGCTGGGATATGGATGTGGATTAGCATTTGGATTGTTCGTGGGATGTCTTGTCTTTTGGACAGGGAAACCGAAATGGTTTGTAACTTTAGTTGATGGTATACAAAATCGAAGGACAAGAAAGCCGAAGAAATCTCAAAGACGTGTTTGAAGAAGGAACTAGCTGCAGAGACAAATGATGCTACTTTTCATTTCGTTTAGTTTCACTGCTTTTTATGTTTTGCTTTAGTTTTCCTTTTCCCTTTCTTGTAACAAGCTTTTTACTATGTACCCTGTATTATATATTTTCAGCTTCACTTCTTGTTATACGAATGGTAATTTTAATTATCCTATTGTCATTGGAATGTCTCTATTTAATTTATTGCTGTTTCTTTGCATGTCAACTTGAATTTGCAATTAATCTTTGAAAAGAATTTTAAAAACTTAAAAATAGGTTATATTTTAGTTTTTTTAATAGACCTTTATTGAAATAATATAGTTTTGATATGTTTTTCCTTTTAATTTTATAAAGATTTGGTTGATAAACACTTTTTTAAAAATATATACATTTGGTGGAATTTATTTCTTGTAGTTGCTAAGCCACTGGCTCACAAGCAGACAAACACAATCAGAACTAGACCTATAGGCTCATAAGCATTAAAATTCACTTCAAGTAACGTAGGATCATGATGGTAATCATAAACCCACACTTATGAATGATAATTGCTCTGATATCAACTGAAATGGCTAGACTTAAAACTGTCATTGGTTTAATAATTCTTTGAATTAAGTTCCACAGGTTCTCAAAAACTTAAATTAAAGTTATTAGTAGTGGTAAATTTTCACATTTACATATTAAAATCACTCATCATTGCCACTAATGTAAAATTCGGGACATGACACAAACCTAAAAGAAATCTAATTTTTTTCCTTCTTTTAATAAAAGCTATATTTCTCCTCTTTGTTGGTGTGTTTTTTCTCCTCTGTGTGGGAGTAGCCTTCTGTATCTTTTTTCTGCAAAGGAGGGATGCAATGAATTCAAAGGCGATTGGGTTTCAGAAATTGTTTTGTGGTAGACAGAGTTGGTAGGAGTGGAGGATTAGCTTTGTTGTGGCAAGAAGACACTAAGTTATGGAAAAAGCCTAAAAATAGTCCCTTACCTTGATAAGTTGGAAGGTTTTGGCCCCTCACCTTATAATATAATGGTTTTAGCCCCTAACCTATAAAAATGAAAGAAAATAGCCCTTATTTGTAACTTCCGTCATACGTTTGTTACCGTCCGTCACTTCCATCACTTCCATCACTTCATCCGTTATATTTCTGTTAACTTTGTCCTGCTTATATAATAAATAAAAAAATGGAAAAGCTTCCCCAAGAAGCATGCTGCATTTTTTTTGGGAATTCAAACTTTTTTTTTTCAAGAAGTCTTAACATTTTTTTTTATCTTTATTTTTAAAGATGGCTGCACATGTATTAATTGTATATAATTTTTACATATTAT